GCTCTTCAGCTCAAGGCGAGCGCTCTACCACTTGAGCTACAGCGCCACTTCCGGTTTTCTGGTGGTTTATTGGAGATAGGAGTCTCACAGTCTCTCCTGCCCGGGCTGGCTTTGAACCGCAATCCTCAGATCCCAGCCTCCTGAGTAGCTAGGATTACAGGCATGAGCCACCAGTGCCCGGCTCCTTGGGACTCTTATTTCCAACTAACCAGCCAAAAATCCCAAAGTGGAGCTGTGACTAAAGTGGTAAAGCACCAGAATTGAGTAGAAAAAGATCAAGCAAAAGTATGAGGCCCTTCATTCCAGCTGCAGTATGATGGAGGTATGCATGCTTGTGCACACACACACACACACACACACACACAGATTTTACAGTATGTCTCTGGTAGTTGGACTACATGAGGGCAGGCTGAGGAGCCAGTCTCTCCCCATTACCAACCTCTCTCAGCTCCTTCAGGGTACTTGGCAAATTCCTAAGTGTCCCAGGCTAAGAAAGACTGGGTGACCTTGATCTCGGTATTTTGGAGAACTGCCTTTGAGAAGCACCTTGGCCTGTCCTGTCTACCTCCCCTGGCTCCTGGTGTCAGAGAAGCAATGGGAGGAGCACAAGGGATGAGGACAGACAGACAGCCCCCCCCCAGATGTTCTGTACCCCAGCTCTTACCAAATTAGGAGGTGTCATGGCTGGGAATGTGGCAGCAGAGGGATATTTTTATAAATAAAGGGGATTGTCACAGCTTCGCCCAGTGCCAGCTGCTGTGAGAGTTGAGTGACAGGTTCTCAGCTGTCAGCCTGCAGGCGCTGCCAGAATTGGCCTGGACCATGGCTCCACATCTGGCCACAGCTGGGAAAGCAGGATTTCACATGGCCAAACCTGAAAAACCAAATGATGCATTAAAAAAAAAAAAAGAATCAGTGTAGTTGTGCACCAGTGGTTCACACCTGTAACCCTAGCAACTTGGGTGGCTGAGATCTAAGGCAAACAAACCCAAGACTTTTTTTGGGGGGGTTGTAGGGCTTGAACTCAGCCTGGGCAAGTCCCTGAGTTCTTTTGCTCAAGGGTAGCATTCTACCACTTTGAACCACAGCTCCAGAGACAGGAGACAGAGCTCTTGGAGACAAAAGTCTCATGGACTTTTCCTGCCTGGGCTAGCTTTGAACCTCAGTCCTCAGATCTCATCTCTTGAATGGGTAAGATTACAGGCGTAAGCCACCAGTTACCAGCCCCAAGAGACTTTTATCTCCAATTAGCTTACCAAAAAGTCAAAAAGTGAAGCTGTGGCGTAAGTGATAGAGTGCTAGCTTTGAGCATAAAATCTCAGGGACAGTGCCCAAGCCCTGGTGCACGTGTGCGCACACGTGCACATACACACGAATATTCAAAACTTAACTGTAGTTTCCAGAACTGAGTACTCAAGGGTGAGGGAGTTTGGCCCTGGAGTAGGAATTGAGAAATGCTTGTTAGCTCAATTCCTCTTTCTGATGTAAGGAACTAGGCAAGTGCCGATGGCTCTTGGCTCTTGGCTGTTCCTTTGCTGTCAGAGAAGATGCTGCCCCCACCCAGTGCCTGCCTGCTGCTTTATCCATTTTTCTGAGCTGCAGAAGGGCTGAGATGATTCAGCATTTCGGGTGGAGGGAGGAGATGCAGCATGATGGCAGTGGTGGGGAGCTGGACTGACTCTATCCCCAGACAGTAGAGGACAGTACAAGGGGACCAGTAATCATCCTGCAGGGGCAGCCTATGAATGGAGGGCAGGTGGGCTTTCCTCCTTGGGATGCCACTGAGGAAGAAACTTCCTGGGGTCTCCCTCTGGTGGGCTAGATACTCATTCCAGCAAACTGGTCTTGTCCATCTGTCTGTCTGTCTGTCTGCTCTCTCTCTTAATTTTTTGATGGTGCTGATGGTCTTGAACTTGTGAGGATGGCACTCTACCACTTGAACCATGCCTCCAGCCCAGCTTTAGACTATTTTTCAAAAAGGGTCTTGATTACCCCCACCCCCAGCCCCCAGCCTTGAACCATAATCCTACTTCTGCTGCTCACTTAGTTGGGATTAGGGACACATACCCTCATGTCCAGTCTATTTGTTGAGATGAGACCTCACTATAACCCTTTTCTAGACTGGCTAGCCTCCTGATTTTTGTGTCCTTCATAGCTAAGCTTATAGGCATGAGCCCCTTCACCTGGCCTATGTGTCCCTATAATGGCTGTTTTTGTACAAAAGATAGACACAGACAACATGATAGAGAGAGCTGCCCTTTTAGTTGTAGAATCCTGTGCTTTAAAAAGTACTGAGCAGGAGCTGGGCGCTGGTGGCTCACGCCTGTAATCCTAGCTTCTAAGGAGGTTGAGGTCTCAGAATCAAAGTTCAAAGCCAGCCCAGGCAGGAAAGTCCGTGAGACTCTTCTCTCCACTTAACCACCAGAAAACTGGAAGTGGCGCTGTGGCTCAAGTGGTACAGCGCTTACCTTGAGCTGAAGATCTGAGGGACAATACTCAGGCCCAGAGTTCAAGCCCCACGACTGACCAAAAAAAAAAAAAAAAGTACTGAGCAGGGCTGGGA